GAAGGGCTATGTTCTATGTACCCGCTCCAATTTCCATGTCGAGGATTCTTGACAAAGCTTGTCTGGTGTACTTGTTAAGATGGGAAGCTAAATACTAACGAGATGAGTTGGGGCATGAATAAAGCATTTAACAAACCATTAATACACCTGTTAATTGGCAACTCACCACTGCCTAGCACGAAACTCACCTCACTGCTAGTCAAAACCATAAAAAATGGAGCAAGATGCTCCCAACATCAAGATGGGCCTCACAAGAATTCTCATCTGATTCTCCATAGCCCACATCAATCAGATCCCTAGAAGAATCTATCCATGTTTTGGTTGGAGAATTCTCAATTCTTGCTTCACTCATGCAATAATTTGTTGAACACTTAAAAATCTCAAACCTATTGATAATGATGAGTAAGAGGTTGGATAGCAACGATTCACTCATAAACGTACAATACTTATACGTATTAAACAATGAACTGTACATATCAGAAAACTGCTGCTTGAAACCACACATAGGATATTTTAACAGCGGTTTTCAGGACACTGAAACCTAACATTGGTGTGATGTCTTTGTACCCATGGATAACGTATGCCATTCCTCAAGTTGATCCCTGGAGGACTGGCTTCTCAGCAAATACTAACAGCGAGGTGCTGAACAAAAGCAAATGCACCTCCAGAGAGAAACAAACCATCCGCCCGACATGTGGACAAGCAAGAAGCAACTTGCAGGCATATGTTCAGTTGCCTGTCTTCCCTCGAATTAAAAGCAATATGCATGTAGTAAAGGGTGAAAGGAATAAGTGGGAAATTGCGAGAGGTTTTGAGTACAAGAGCAGGGATGTGTTGTTGCAGTTGTACAGGGCCTTGGTGAGACCACACCTAGAATATTGCTTGCGGTTTTGTCTCCTTTTCTGAGGAAGGATGCTCTTGCTTTCAAGGGAGTGCAACAAAGGTTTACCAGGCTGATTCCGGGGATGGTGGGTCTGATGTATGAGGAGAGATTGACTAGGTCAGGATTGTTTTTGCTGGAGTTCAGAATGACGAATGAGGGGGGATCTCATAGAGACTTATAAAATTCTAACAGGACTGGACAGGGTAGATGCAGGGAAGGTGTTCCCGATAGTGAGTGTGCCCAGAACTAGGGGTCACAGTATGACGATTTGGGGTAGACCATTTAGGATGGAGGTGAGGAGACATTTCTTCACCCAAAGAGCGGTGAGCCTGTGGAATTCATTACCACAGGAAGTAGTTAATGCCAAAATATTGAATGTATTCAAGAGGTGACTAGATATAGCACTTGGGATGAATGGCGTCAAAGTTGATGGGAGAAAGCATGATTAGGCTATTGAGTTGGACGATCAGCCATGATTGTGATGAATGGCGGAGCTGGCTTAAAGGGTCGAATGGCCTCCTCCTGCTCCTACCTGCTATGTTTCTATGAAATCATAACTTTCAAACTGAGAAACAGAAAATTACTTTTGTAAAGGATTGTGTATGACATTGTGGATGCTATAGTGAAATTCTACTGAATGTACAGGACAGCAAATAATTATTAGCACATTTTGAATTCAATCAAGCGTGTTTTCTATCCCTAAGGTTGTTTGTGTAATTTTAAAGTCATGTCCATAATGTACTTGAGGAAGTACCCAGAGTCAAAATCGTGAAACTTGTAATATAATTTTGTAATGCAATATTTTTTAACCCTAAAGGGACTTGGATTTTCTTGGAATTTGGGTACCACTATAACAAGCTTGGCATTATACTGCAACAAAATGGGGAAAGCTCATGCAATATATAATTCCAGAGCACTACGTGAATCAAAATCCATGGTGACATTTTCCACCATATTCACCAAAATATGTTATCCATCTTACTATTTCACATTGTGTTTAGAATGATCTGTTCATGCATTCAGAAAGTTGTACAGTACAATATTTGTTAGGCCCTGCTTAATGGTTATAACATTCTCAAATCTTCTTAAGTGCATCAGAATAAGTAAATGCGAATTATTGCAGCAAATATGATCAAGGTGTAACGGAAATGAACGTCAATCTTATATAGGTGAAAACGTTAGCTTGAATCAAGCAAAAGTCCTTGTGCCTCTGGTCAAAGGCCATGGATTTAAGGCCCATTTCAGGATTTGAGCACTAGTTCTATTCTGGCACCAATGCCATACTGTTAGCAAATGCTGCACTGTCAGATGACAAGATCAGAAGATAAGTAGACCAAAGGCCAATCTGACTGCTAGGGTGGATATAAAAGATCACATGCAACAGTGTAAAAATGATCAGGGAAGTCCTCCTATTTTTGTGGCTAGCATTTATCCCTCAACCAAAGCAAATTAACTGATAAAATCCTTCATGCTTCCTGTTCACAAGTCGTCAGATATGTTTTTTTCTGCACAACTATGGCTATACTTCAAAAGCAATTAATTGCCCGCAAAGCACTTCACAATATCCAGAGGACAAAATATAGATCTATGTGCAAATAAAAATTAATATTTTCTTTCACTTCAACCTCTTCCTGAATGGCAATAATACTTGAATAAACCAGATCATAAAATATGTCCATGTACTGTCACCAATTAATCACCCCAGTACAAAACCACATTGTTCCCTGTCAAATGAAAACTCCACTAGTTAAAGGTGCAGAGTTTCAGTAGTAGCTACATGTCTATCTCCAATCAAAGTATGCTTAGAAGCCTGGATAAGTGCCCACATCTAACCTCCAATAACTGCTTCATTAGTTGCATGAAAGAACATGTTGTCACAGAGCAATAGGCTTTATGCAGGACAATGCATGGCATGCTCTCCATCTTGTAAAGCCAAGTTTGATGTTATCTGTCAAATTTATTCACCATTAACTCCTAGAACTGAAACACAATGTAACAGACTTGGTGAAAAACAGGTGCTGGTTGTGAGGCTTAACTCAATGCTTCACATGACTGAATGACACATCAGTATCAGTCAGAGCCTCTCTCTCCACGGAAGTCTGGCAAATGTTTCCACTTCAAGAATTCCATTTTGAAAGTTAACGGTAAACTTTCTTCCATCACCCTTTCATGTTGTGCATTCATAATAACTTCATGCATAAAGGAAAATAACTGTTGGCTCTCTAATCTTTCCATGTAACTGAAGTCTTTCATCCCTGGTACCATCCAGATGAATCTTCTGTGTACCCTCTCTCTGGCCTTGACATGTGATTTAGTGATTTTAACTTGCTGCCCTGCTGTCTGTGAGATTACTTCAATATAACTGGCTGTTTACCCTACTTGTTGACATCACTGTTGGTGCATGCCTGGAAATCTCTGGACATGGCGTCAAATTCAAAATGTCATCAGAATACAGGAAGTCAGAAGCACAAGGATTGCCAGATCTTTACAGGCAATTTCCTTCAAAGTCAGCGCTGAGTGCTGTTGCTCTACTGCTGACTGTAACATTCATGCCACTGAACAGAATTTAACACAAGTGGACATAATAGTGGGGGGAGAGGCAAGAAAATTGGGCAAAAGCATCTATATCAACTTGCAAGCATCAGAAAACGTCCAGTGATTAGGTTAGGGGCAGGAAGAGCAGATGCAGGAATCCTGGCAGAGATGTCAATTAGTCCCATTAATGAATGCTTAAGAGCAGTTATCCCTTTGCCCAACTCACTCCTGATGCTCCTCTCCCCAACAACCCCCACCTTACACTCACCATCCCAGTGGTTCAAGTTGCTCACATAAAATCCCAGCCAACGCATTCAAATATTTCCCTGTCATCAATATTAGGCTGACTGGTCTGTAGTTGCTGATTTTATCCTTCTCTCCATTTCTGAAGAGGGGTGTGACAGTTGGAATCCTCCCAGAACATGCAATCCAGGAATTTATCATCTCCCACACACACTGCAGTGACTCCAGCTTCCTAGTTAGAAATCCCGAGCATGTGTTTAACCAAATGGAAACACTTCCTGCACGCATAAAGTGACCTAAACTTCATGCACACAGCACAGGAGTTGCAGGCAATGGGCCCTAGCAGTCCCATCATTTTGTTTAAAGTTCATATTCTCGCATTTTTATTTACATATATATGTGTGTATGTGTGTGTACGTGTGGGTCTCTGCTCAGCATCCCAATTTATTATGTAAACCAGACTCTTAATTTCTGTCATTCAGATCTATTTTAAATTGATAGCCTCTAAATGGTTCATTTTATTTTTATCCGTAATTATTCACAAAATTATTTATTTACTGCTTTCCTGGGTTTAAACAAGAAGTAACTACGGGAAAAGAATGAGAAAACTGATTGCCTTACTGAACTATTGGGGAAGGAGGACGGAGGGGTGATTTAAAATGCCCACCTCCATTTTATTTCTCCACTCCCTCCGCCGCCCCCGCCACAGCAGCCCTTCAGGTGCGGATATACAGGCTTTGGCGATTCCTGGTTTGAAAATTCTAGCTCCCACCTATGCAGTTCATGGAATCATAGCATCCCTACAGTGTGGAAGCAGGCCTTTCAGCCCATCGAGTCCACACTAGCCTTCCGAAGAGCATTCCATGTAGAACCGCCCCAGTACCCTGTCCCTGCATTTCCCAATGGCTAATCCGCCTAGCCTGCACATCCCTGGACACGAAGGGCGATTTAGCATGGCCAATCCACCTAACCTGCACATCTTTGTGAAAGCTTGATACTCATGCAGAAATAAACTGCTCCTACAAACAAGTAGTCAATGAAAAACACTAGCTAATTCATCAACTTCTCTGAAGAGAGTTGCATTGGAAATGCTTCCCTTAATCTGTCTCAATGAAAGGAACGTTTTAAGAAAGAAGCAAATTTAAGAACGCTGGCTAAGTGGCAAGGATTTAATGGCTTATTTGCAGTTTACCTTTCTGAAATTAATTCAAAGTGCAGAATGATAATCGGTAGTTCAAAGCCTTTTAAAAACTGGCCTGAAAATGGTTAGCTCAGCAGGAGTACCGCAGCACTCAGTACAGCCAGACTAAAGCCTGCATCACAGAGAATAGATACTCACGGACTCCCTCGATCTTGTCTGCCGTCCTGTTCCAGGACAGTTGTTGAGTTTCCATGATCACCTGCAGTGTTCTCCTCTCGGGTTGTGACTTCTTCAGGCTGAAGACTGTCATCACAGCACCCAACTCCAAGGTCCTTTTCAGCTGACTTTTCTCCGGCTCCGACATAGAATCCAAACCGTCTTTATTCCAGGACATCTTCGCCCCTCTCCCCCCCCCCCCCCCCCCCACCCCCCGAACTCTTTTTAGTTTTGGAACAACTAAGAACGATGAAAAGAAACTGGATCGGCGTCCAGCTTCCTCGCCGCTAAAGCACACACACACACAGACGCACGGCAGAGCGCTGCGCAGAATACTTTCAGGCAAATCCCCTCATCTGGAACCTTTTGCAGGGACCAAGAAACGTTACAATGGCTTTTTTTTTAGGATCACTTCGAGCACACGACAACGGCCAGCAGTTTTTCATGTCTACAAAACAAACATCTTGCCTGTTCCGCAATTTGGCTGCATGAGGAAGTTGGCTAAATTTTCTTTGAAAAAAAAACTTGGTCCGGAAACGCCGTTGATGCGATCTATGCAAAACCGTGAAGTTGTCCAAAGGTACGTTAGTTACAAATGGAAGGGAGTCAGATGTGTGTCAATTTCATTTACACAGCGCCATCTGGCGCAGACATGAACAGCGAGCGGCCCCTTTTATTCCAAACTCAGAAACCCATCTTCATACTGAAAAAAAGGTGCTAATATCACTTTTTAGTTTTGAGTCTCAATGTGCAAACGTGTAAGCATTGAGAAGCAGACAGGTCTAACTGGTCATTAAAATAAAATATTTTAAATGGTCAGGAAAATAATACTGCAATAGCGTTTGCAGCTCAAGTAGCCGGATGATTAGTACAGAGATAACAAGGTGCAGAGCTGGATGAACACAGCAGCATCGTAGGAGCAGGAAGGCTGACGTTTCGGGCCCATCAGAAATGGGGAAGGGGGTTCTGAAATAAATAGGGAGAGAGGGGGAGGCGGATAGAAGATGGATAGAGGAGAAGATAGGTGGAGAGGAGACAGACAGGTCAAAGAGGCGGGGATGGAGTCAGTAAAGGTGAGTGTAGGTGGGGAGGTAGGGAGGGGATAGGTCAGTCCAGGGAGGATGGACAGGTCAAGGGGGCGGGATGAGGTTAGGAGGTAGGAGGTGAGGGTGCGGCTTGAGGTGGGAGGAGGGGATAGGTGGGAGGAAGAACAGGTTAGGGATGCAGGGATGAGCTGGACTGGCTTTGGGATGCGGTAGGGGGAGGGGAGATTTTGAAGCTTGTGAAATCCACATTGATACCATTGGGCTGCAGGGTTCCCAAGCAAAATATGAGTTGCTGTTCCCGCAACCTTCGGGTGGCATCGTTGTGGCACTGCAGGAGGCCCAGGATGGACATGTGGTCTGAGGAATGGGAGGGGGAGTTGAAATGGTTCGCGACTGGGAGGTGCAGTTGTTTATTGCGAACCGAGTGTAGGTGTTCTGCAAAGCGGTCCCCGAGCCTCTACTTGGTTTCCCCGATGTAGAGGAGGCCACAACGGGAACAGCAGATGCAGTATACCACATTGGGAGATGTCCAGGCGAACATCTGCTTGATGTGGAAAGTCTTCTTGGGGCCTGGGATGGGGGTGAGGGAGGAGGTATGGGGGCAGGTGTAGCACTTGCTGCAGTTGCAGGGAAAAGTGCCGGGTGTGGTGGGGCTGGAGGGGAGTGTGGAGTGGACAAGGGAGTCACGGAGAGAGTGGTCCCTCCGGAAAGCAGATAAGGGTGGGGAGGGAAAAATGTCTTTGGTGGTTGGGTCGGATTGCAGATGGCGGAAGTGTCGGAGGATGATGCATTGGAGACTTTTCCCTGCAACCGCAGGAAGTGCTCTACCTGCCCCCACACCTCCTCCCTCACCCCCATCCCAGGCCCCAAGAAGACTTTCCACATCAAGCAGATGTTCACCTGCACATCTGCTAATGTGGTATACTGCATCCGCTGTTCCCGTTGTAGCCTCCTCTACATTGGGGAAACCAAGCGGAGGCTTGGGGACCGCTCTGCAGAACACCTACGCTCGGTTCGCAATAAACAACTGCACCTCCCAGTCGCGAACCATTTCAACTCCCCCTCCCATTCCTCAGACCACATGTCCATCCTGGGCCTCCTGCAGTGCCACAATGATGCCACCCGAAGGTTGCAGGAACAGCAACTCATATTTTGCTTGGGAACCCTGCAGCCCAATGGTATCAATGTGGATTTCACAAGCTTCAAAATCTTCCCTCCCCCTACCGCATCCCAAAACCAGCCCAGCTCGTCCCTGCCTCCCTAACCTGTTCTTCCTCCCACCTATCCCCTCCTCCCACCTCAAGCCACACCCCCATCTCCTATCTACTAACCTCATCCCACCCCCTTGACCTGTCCATCCTCCCTGGACTGACCTATCCCCTCCCTAACTCCCCACCTACACTCACCTTTACTGGCTCTATCCCCGCCTCTTTGACCTGTCTGTTTCCTCTCCACCTATCTTCTCCTCTGTCCATCTTCTATCCGCCTCCCCCTCTTTCCCTATTTATTTCAGAACCCCCTTCCCCTCCCCCATTTCTGATGAAGGGTCTAGGCCCGAAACGTGAGCCTTCCTGCTCCTCTGATGCTGCTTGGCCTGCTGTGTTCATCCAGCTCTACACCTTGTTATCTCAGATTCTCCAGCATCTGCAGTTCCTACTATCTCGGATGATTATTACAAATGTTTTTATTCATTCATTGATCTTCCTTGCATTTTCCGTTGCAATGTTGGGATCAAAATATTTGTTATAGTAACAGTTATAGATACCATCCAGCGTATTATTAATAGAACCGGTTTCTTTTCCCTATTTTATCTATTCTCTCTAATCGATTTTCTACTCTGCTTCTTCCTACTGTGTTTCTCGTATCTGCGCGATTTTTTTCACTCTCTTTTACTGTCCCATTTTTTCTCTCTTCCTCTTTCTGTATTAAAAATAGAAAGACATTTCCTTTTGAATAAAGCTTTCTTCTGATCCGATAAAGACAGCTGTGAGCATTACTATAACACAATGTGGAGTTGGAAGAACACAGCAGGCCAGGCAGAATCAGAGGCGTAGGAAAGCTGATGTTTCGGGTCGGGACCCTTCTTCAGAAAGATGTTGTCTACAAAACAACTTCTGAAGAAGGGTCCCGACCCGAGAAGTCAGCTTTCCTGCTCCTCTGATGCTGCCTGGCCTGCTGTGTTTCTCCAGCTCCACACTGTGTTATCTCAGACTCCAGCATCGGCAGTTCTTACTATCTGAGCATTATAATAAGTTTTCTTTCACTGAATATGCACGAATCTATGCACCAATATCACTAAAGGCTTGCTCCTAAATCCTCCTTGCAGTCAGTTACTTGATTAGGATTGCAGTTTGCATCCAACTGGGTTATTAGGGAGTTCATGCTTTGTTTCTCTGTGCTTCCAACATAAGTTTCCTGTGGTTTATACTAAGCATGTTTGACTCCTGATTGTCACTGATCAAGATGGGTTGAACTATCGCTGCATTTACTGTTATTTCCTTTCACCTATCACAAATCTGCCCTGTCTCTAAAGGTTAAGAACTTTAGGATTTTGTCTTTTGGGCATATTTTTCATCTGCCATTTCATTTCAAAGTCTTTAACTTTCATTCAAAGGCTTAACACAAATGCACAATTCCTCTCGTAAAGCCATAAAGTAATTCCTTCTCATCTTACATGCCAAAATACTGAGACCTGGTTGTACTTTTGTGGTATCATTATAGATGAGGAATATTGGAAAGTGAGGATACCACTTAAAAACAGTAACAAATGTTAGTTTTAGTGATCCGGAAGCTGATTGAAAATATAGATCTTTAATGGATGAAAGGGTTAACCAAGTTAGCAGGAGAATTCCTGCAGCAAACTTGAAATAAATTTGATCCTGAGTTCTGAGGAAGGGGTCACCAGACCCGAAACAGTAACCCTGTTTTTTCAAAAACAAAGTTGCTGGAAGAGCTCAGCAGGTCTGGCAGCATCTGTGGAGGAGAAAACAGAGTTAACGTTTCGGGTCCGGTGACCCTTCCTCAGAACTGAGTTAA